AAGATCAAACTAAGAGGGAGAGTTTCCCTTGTTTGGCATGTCATGCGCTTGATTCTACTGCTTCTCTGAGCCAAATGAGACTAGTTCCATTTGAAGTTTTGACAATGATTTTGAATGACAAACTCTAGCTAATGAACTAATACTTGTCAATATAAGTGGCAGTAGTAACGTGTTTTTTTAATTAAATTATTTTGAATTTGAATATCGACTTTAAGTATAACATAAATTGAGTTAAAAGAAGATTTTTGTTTTTTTGTTTTTTGATTTTTTTTTAATGTTTACGGTCTCTTTCAAATAGATATGTATCATTACTATGGTAAAAATAAATAAATAAATGTACTCTAGCTAATTATGACAATATGTCTCCTCTTGTGGGGAGAATTTGTATATATATGTGAATTTTCACTTGACACAGACAAAAGTAGAGAATCTTAATGATGTTCATTTTATTTGTGTGAAAATTTTGCGAATTAGCTACCCAATGTTTCAGAAATCATAAACCTTGGCATAAAAAAAATTGGTCTCCTGCAATATTGACAATGACCAGCGACTCCACTAGAGAGAGCAATATTCGGGAAAGTTGGCTCCTTATTAGCTCATATTGCCTTTTGAGGTCAACGACATCAAATGTGTACCTTTGTTTTTTTAAAAAATGATTTGATAGTTCCATGAAACATTACTACAATGTAATGAGCAAGAATAACTTGGTTAATTAGTCATTCTTCTTGTTTTCATTTAAATCGGAAATGAAAATTACTTAAGAAAATAAAAATAGGAAATAAAATAATAAAAACTTTTCTCAAATTAAACAAACCCTTAATATCACTATTACTTAATAAAAAAACTTTGTTTCCACTAAAAGTATCATCAAACATATAATTAAAGACTAAATATTATTATCCAAGAATAGAGATTACCGAAACAAGTTTTAACCCTCTTAATTGAGAGTCTTCTCTATACACATGATTGAAATTAAAATTGAACTCTAATAATATGTATCTTAAATAATCATTCAGTTACTGAAAATCGACAATACCCTTCCAGTAAAACTCTCTCCACACTCTTAGATATTGAGACACTCTTAGAGCATTTCCAGTGGGAGTTACTTATAAGCAACTCCCAATCACTTTAAATGGGTCCCATTGTGCCACGTCACTCATAAGCAACTCATACTATATTTTTACAATTTTTGCTCCAATGACAATTCCTTATAAGCACTCCTACTTTTTTACAACTCATACTACACTTTTTGACAACTCACATTATACTTTATGATAAATTTTTAAAAAATTAATTATTATAGATAATATATAAATATGAATAAAAAACAAAAGAAATTACATAATAAAAAAATTACAACAATAAAAAAAATTACATAATAAAAAGAATTACAAAATAAATTGATAAAAATTTATAAAAAAAAATAATATCTAAAATATTACAAATTTCTAAAATAATTTTTTAAATTTTTACTTATTCGATTTATTTGAAATTTAAATTATTTTTTCAACACTTTTCAATTTATTAAAAAACATGAAATGTTTTTATTTTTTAAAAATATGAATCAATAATCGTGTGCTTTTAATATAAAAATAAGCATGTAAAAAATATTATCAGCATGTTATGGTTTTTTTTTATCATATACAAGCCGCATAAAATTTTTACCATGTTAAATTTCAATAAAATTAATGTACATTTAAATTAATTTTTTTAATTATTACATATGAAGTAAAATTTTATTTAATTTTAAAAAATAATATTCTAAATATGTAATAATTTTTTAATTTAAAATAATAAATTTATTATTATTATTATTCTTATTTACGTTTTCTTCTTCTCACCAACGGCTCTTTCATCATTTTATTTTTTTTTGTTTTCTTCTTCTTCTCTCTTCTCTCTTCTTCTCTCCTCTTCTCTCTTCTTCTTCTTCTCTCCACTGCCACGTCTTGGGGGGTTTGGTCGCGCGGAGCCGCACGCGCCGGGGGGTCTGGTCAGACGGATCTGCGCGCCAGAGGGGGTTCCGGTCGGAGCCGCGCGCGCAGGGGGAGAGGGTCTGGTCGGAGCTGCGCGCAGGGGGAGGGGGTCCGGTCGGAGCCGCGCGCGCAGGGAGAGGGGGTCTGGTCGGAGCTGCGCGCAGGGGGAGGGGGTCCGGTCAAGAGCTGCACGTGCGGAAGGGGTTCGCGGGGGGAGGGGGTTCTGGCGCGGGGGCTGTCGGGACTGGCTGTTTGGAGGTTCCACGTAGATCCGATTCAACCAATCAAATGCCTCTCCTCAGTGCTAAGCACCGTTGCTTGGAGAAGCAACAAAGAAATTTTTTTAAGCAACTGGGTTGCCACGTGAGATCACTCCAACGGGGATTTCTTCTAAGCACCGTTGCTTGTCAGTAAGCAACGCTCTAAGAACTTGCCGCTGGAGGTGCTCTTATGAATCCAAGTGTACTCCTTCGACACCTTCAAATGCCAAGACACTTTCAGGTGTGCCCCTTAGACACTCTCAAATGTTAAGGCATTCTTAAGTGTACCCCTTCATCCTTGAATGTTGAAGCATTCTCGAATGTACCCCTTTCAGCACCTTTGTATGCTGAAGTACCCTCACGAATCTAAGTGTACCATTTTAGCACCCTTGTATGTTGAAGTATCCTCACAAATCAAAGTATACTCCTTCGACATCCTCGAATGTTGAGGCATTCTCGAGTGTACCTCTTGACACTTTCATATGTTGAAGTACCCTCGTGAATCCAAGAGTACCCCTTTGACACCCTCGTACGTTGAGGCAGTCTCAAGTGTGCCCCTTCAACATCCTCAAATGTTAAGGCATTTTCGAGGCATTTTTGAGTATACCCCCGTTGGCACCTTTGTATCCCAAAGTATCCTTGCAAATTCAAGTATACCCCTTTGGCATCCTCCTAAGCCAAAGTACCCTAGCAAATCCAAGTGCAGCCCTTGGGCACCCTTGGATGGTAAGGCATTCTTGCAAAACTCAAGTATAAACCCCTCGGCACTCTCGAATGGCAAGAGACCCTTGCAGGAATAAGGTACTATTATTCAATGTTTTAGAGAATTGATCACTTATGTCATAGAATGGGTCAAATGACTCCCATTTTATGTGAAGATAATCAAGATGATTAAAATCTAATTACGACATGGGACAAATTGCAAACATATTCCCTAATCGATAATCCTAGACTAAAATTCATTGAAATTTGAGTCTATCATCATAATTAGTATAAATATATAGTATTACATATCAAGATTAAATTATAGTACATAATATATTTGTATTTATTAGCCCATGAGAAACACTTGAGCGCCCCAGTGCTTTTTTGTGAGTATACCCCTCTTGATTTAGCAAAACAATCAGCTCAGAGAGAGAAGAGTAAGTACTTGGTACAGGTATAATATGCGTAATAATTTTAGTTATAATCTATCAGCAGCATAGCACTTTATTGCTTCAAAAAATTCTAACTGGTTTAGAGTTTGTCCAAAAATAAGATCATAGTTTAGCAAACTAAAAGATGATTAAGAAGCAATGTTATAGAAATATTTCAATATCACCTAGCAACAGGTAGAGTTAGTACGGAGCTGCAATGAAAACAAGCAGTGTGGAGACATGGTATAAGCCAAAAGATGTGTATGATTTCATCTACACAATGTTTCACGAAATAACTAAATTTAGTCCAGTACACTCTGCGCATGTATTATTAAGCTAGTGTTTTCTTTTTCTTCTTTTATCTCATGAAGACGTATTTTTTCTTCCTTGCTGAATTAAATGGTCAGTCCTTGACTTGACACATAATTGCCATCATTTCCCATCTAAATTAGTGTTGGTTAATGTGTTCTAATTATATTTCTACCAATTCTCAATCAGGAGTCATCGACTTTACACAAAGATATATTAATTATTAACTCCACCTAGTGTTGATGATCATATACAATGATTAATTATTCTAATAATAATTAGAATGTACCTGATATATATGAGTACAATAAAAGTTTAATAATGTAATATGATGATATAATTTTATATTTTTAATTTTTAAAAATTAGACGAAGTTAACAATATATAATGACCGCTGAGATAACCTTAATACAAAATAATTTTAAATAAATCACAAAAATGACTTATCATATATACTAATTGACATTGAATTATTATCAAATTATTAGTTCTCAATTTAGTACCGCATCTTCAATTAAAGATAACAATCCTCTTTTTTTAGTACAAAATTGCATATTTCACAATAATTAAAAGCAATATAACGTTTTTTAACACCTTTTCCATATGATTAAGCAATTATTATTGAAGTTTTAATTCTTATATAAAGATGCTTCTCCTTAATCAAACAATAATATGTAGTATATATAAACAATAATTTTTTTAATTTACTCTCAAACTACTCATTATTTTTTTCTAATTTACACACACACACATATAAAATTTTAATATGTAGTATATAAATCTTTGATAAATCACACATTTTGTGTAATTTCAAAATACTTTATCTATCACCATTTATATGTTGTTGAATTTAATACATTACTTTTCCTTAAGTCAAATAGAGAGCCGTATTATATTCAATTACATTACTCATTTACAGAGCACATTTTTCTTTGTTATTGGTTTTCCTTTCTGTTTACTTGTAGTTTACATGTTATCTTTATAACTCTCTAATATCTCTCAAATTTATAATCATATATTATCGTTCGATTCATTGCAAGACGAAAAGCTGTTGCATTCACTTGCATAATGCATATTATAATTGCCCCTGGTCATGCCATCAGCTACGAAATATATATCAGTAATTAGCTGAAACGAGAGTTTTCAAAAGTGTGGTTTATGGTTTATATATTCAAAGTTCGAAGGTTGCAATTGCAATCAATATAAGACTCAATGAAATAATGTATATATATATGCAGCTCGCGTTCATGCATCAACTAAACTAAACGCAATGAAAGAACCTGGTATAAAGTGTCCACAGTGAAGGTCAAAAGATATTTGAGCACAAAATGGTCCAATAATAAATAAATTCATTAATGTTGTATCAAAAAACCAGAAAAAATAAAGAAATCAATAAAGAAAAGAATCCATTAAAGAAGTTTGAAACTAGCTACCCACCAAAAGAATAACAATTAAATTCCCATTCTACACCTTTTTTTAGGTCACCTAGCTTTTCACATAGTATGAAATTAAACTACTCCCACCAAAGTAACTAAATTACACACACATATCTTTGTGTATATGGGGAAGTCTAAAGCAACTCAACAACGAAATCAATAAATTAATTAATCGGAGAAGACATTGAATAGGTCAATGGAAGGCATACGATGAGGTGAAACAAAGTTTGAAGGGCTAGGCATGAAGAAAGCACCCTCCATAAAATTTCTGTTACCATGAAGGACGGGGCTCAAATCATTAAAGAAACTAACCATGTTATTTGGATCGTTCGAAGGTGGCGAGAAGAAATTCGAAGGAATGGGAGACAAAGAAGCTGGTCCCGGGGACAAAATCCCATGAAACATGTTTGGTCGTTCATGACCCACTATTTCTACCCCTCCAACATCACCACTATTCTCACTAGGGTTGTGTTTGATGCTTTGGGTTGTTCTAGCCATCTCTATTGCCGCGTAACGGGCCGCCGGCGACACAGGGATGTGTCCTTTGTCGCCGGTTAAAGGGTCCGTTGCGACCTTATCAGAAGAAGAGGAAGAAGAAGAAGAAGAAGAAGAGCCGGTGAGGCGTTGAACAAGGCTCATGAAGTCACTTGGTGTGGTGTGGATTACTTTAGGAGAGACCGTGTAGATGATCACCGGTAGGCGTGGCGGAGCTTGCGGTTGTGCCGGCGGGGGCGCCACCGGTGGCTTCTTGATCTTGTGGGAGTCCTTGTTGATTCTAAGAGGTGTGGGACGAGGGCCTTGGAGTTGGAGTTCTCTTTTGGGTGATCTTCTTGTGGGAATGTTGTCTTGTGAGTTCATCGTGATTGTGCTAATTAGAGGTTGAATTAGTTGTGAAATTAGTGCAAGAGGAAACGAATTGTGAAAAGAGTAGAAGTGGAAATGAAATGATGTTGATGATGGTGATGTTGGTGAGAAGAGAGAGCGTAGGTTTTGGAATCCAAGCTTGGAGTATATAAGGGCGTGACGTGAAACATATTAAGAGCGGGTCAATGGTTTAAAAAGGGAGTATTTTAATGCAAGATACGTTTGGTAAAATATGGCTCCTTCTATGGTAATTTTTTTAGTGTATTCATACATGGGGGCGGTTTCGTGGGGCTATGGTTGTCTGAATTTTTCTTATGTAGTTTTTTTTTTTTAGTCTTTTTCATTATTTTGGTTATGTAGTTAGGAGTTGGAAAGGGTGGAAAGGGTCGTGAGAGAAAGGTATATGATTTATAATATTGATGTACGAGTAAATACTATTCGTGCGGATTTTGGTTATCAGTGGATAAGTGTGTTGACAAGTAGAGACTACGCGTGTGTGGTATACATTGCTCCCTCGGGGCAATAGGCCGAATTGGTTTAATTAGGTCTTTATTCTTCTAAATTTAGGATAACTATTCTTTTTCAAATATAAAATTTATGTTTTATTTTTATAATTTCAAAAAAATATTATTTTAATTTCTGTAAATATTCTTTTGGATTCTCGAACTTATTAAAACATGTGATTTTAGTTCTCGAAATATAAAAGTTATTATTTTAATTTTTAAAATTTATTATTTCAGTTTCTGTAAATTCAAAAAAACATGATTTTAATCTCTTATAGTGATTAATATGATGATGATATGTTAAGGCAACTTTACAATATTAGTAGGGTATCATTAGAATAAAAATAGATCAAATGACCTATCCTATCCTGACTTATTTATTAAGAAAAAAGTCAAACTTAGATTTTAAAAAAATGTAATTTAAAAGGTCAAGGTTCAATCTTTAAAAACAAAAGTCTAATAAACTTGATAGAACATATAATATAATACTATTTTTTATATTTTTATATTTATTATTTATATTTAATGTAGAACTATTAATATCAATGTTTCTAATACTTATATATATCAACCTATTTATGGGTCTTGAATACAGCATGTCACATAAATAGGTTTCGATCGGACACACTAAACTTTTAAATGGGGCAGAGATAAAGCCATAAACAAGGCTTTTGATGGATAAATTAGTCAGTTAAGACTTAGTAATTTTATTGTAGACTAGACTTAGACAAGTTTTGCCGGATTTATTTTAACTTCTATTATTCTTGGACTTCACAATGCATATTTTTACAGTAGGTCTATTTCTTATGATGGTAGCAGTCTAGCAGGTGGTTTTTGGAAAGGTGATTCTTATCATATATAAGATAATATTATACACTAATCTTTTTATAATAATAATTATTTTAATTTGTACGATGTACTAAATAAATTTTTATTTTATTTAATTAAAATATACAATAAATATTTTTTTATTGTATAATTATATTATAATTAAAATAGTTATAATTTATAATGATAAATATTTTTATCATATAAGCTATATTTTAGACTTATAATAAATAATTTATATTGTGATATAATTTTATTTTTAATTAATGGTATTTTTAAAATATTAATTTTTGTTTATAAATAAAAAAAAAGATAAATCCAAAGAGATAAAGGATTAAAAAACTTTTTAAAAAATATCCTCGTTAAAAAATTATCAACACTTTTATTAAAGAATCTCGTCTAATGTAGCTATTTTAATTTTTATATATAGTATATAGGAGATTGGTTATTATTTTAAAAGTTATATGTATTATAAATTTTCATTATAATGAATAATATTAAGTAATTATATTAATCATACATAAATTAAACTCTTTTAAATATTCTAAATATAGTTATCATTTAAGTATTATAACATTCTCTTATAATGAGTTTAGGTTATGTTACACTATAGTCAATTGACATAAATTGTTACCACTTATATTTCTTAATCAAATTCCTTATGTTTCAAATTCTAGCATTATTAGATATAGAATAAATTATATTTAAAAAATATTTATTTTATATATATTTACAGTTTTTATACTTATTAATCATTATATTTTGAATGATAAAGATTTCTCATTCGAATTCGTGATTAAATATATTTAAAGAAAAATATATATTTTGTATATGTTTATGGTTTTTAATACTTATTAATTATTATCTTCAATGATAAATATTTATCACTCATGATTACTTTTGAAACAAATATATAAAAGTAGCCACAGATATACTATTCGACTGCGGATTATGGCTTGGGGAGGGGGTAACAATAGTTCAATAGTGTTTGTGGCATTTTAGGGTTTGGTGTCCTAAATTCGTTTTTAGATATTAGATAATTTTGCACCTTAGAACTTCGAAAATTATCAGTTAAGAAAATAAAATATAAAGCGCATTAGTCAATAACATCTAATTACTAATAGCCATTAATTAGCAATATGCATGGCTAATAATATTTATACGTGGCATGACATGAGCTAATATTATAATGATATATTTTTTTATCATATAAACATAATACACATGATATCTTAAAATTAATAATTAAGAATTAATCTTTACTAGTGAAATGTAATTTCTGTTAACTAAATATTTATTTTAACAGATTAATTTATTACTTTATAGTAATATGAAAAATAATTGTAGTATGTATGCACAGACTCTTTCATTCGAACTGTTGTTGTAATTCATAATATTAGTAAATTAAATGCAAAATGACGTTGAAAAATAAATTAAATGGACAGTCCATTGAAACATTTAATTTACTCGTTATTGTTCAAGCCGAGACTTCGGTTAATAATTACTCCGCAGACTAATTAACAAAATGATAAATGTTTTTCTTTTAGAAAGAAAAAGTATTGAAGAATTTGATTGCTTAAATATTAAAATCACAGTTTGGCAACCATAATAATGAAAATAAAGTGCCATTAAAATTTATTTATAACTTTAATAGATTTTGTAGAGATTAATTTATGGCATACTATTCTTTAACTCCTAATCTTGCATCAAGCACCAAACATTCATTAAAAAAAATATTACATGTTGTAATATATAAAAAAATGTCATTATTTATATATATATATATAGAGGTATAAACTTGTTTGAAATATAGATATACATATTCAACAAATATATATATTGTGTGTCATTATATAATTTATATTTATATTTTTTTTAATAATTTTATTAGCATATATTATATATAATATAGATAAAAATAGTTTTTAATAATAATTATTGTGTCATTCGTGTCACTCTATATGACAAATTTTTTTATAATAACATAATAATAATAATAATAATAATAATAATAATAATAATAATAATAATAATAATAGTTTTCCGTATAAAATTTAAAATTATCAGTCTCCAGTGTGTTGTTTACTATACTTTGAACTCACATCATGCTTTTATTATGACTATTTGGAAAAAAATAATTGATACAAAATTATTTTAATTTAAATAATAATTGTAAATTTGAGTATTTAATATATAATTATATTAAATATTTAGATAAAATATACTACCATCCATAGTAATATTATATACCAGATACATAAGATTGCTTCCAAAAAAAATATATGTGGACTTTTATTTTAAAACCAAATAAATAAAACTTACCACCATTTTATTTCACGAATTATATTGAGAACTGATCGTTGTTTAGAAATTTAACAAAAAATAAAAATGTGTATGCATAAGGATCGTTTCAAATGATCATTTTTCCTCCTGTTTTGGAGAGATTAAAGGAGGCAACAAATGACCAAAAAGAAAACAAAAAAAGTGAAAGGGATATTTTCTATGTATTTAGTCTCTAAATATATGTGAATTTTAGTTTGAGTTAGCAAAATATTTTTTTCTTTCATAATTTTTATCTTTATAAAATTTGAAAATTCATTTTTTAATTCTTAACATTTATTTTAAGACAAATATTAACAATTTATTTTGTGGATAAAAATTGATCAGAGTCACATATAGGGATGACAAAAATACTCGCACTCGCGGGTATCTGCAAGTAAAATTCGCTACGAATAATAAATGGATAGACTAATTGAGTACTCGCAGATAATGGAGACGAATAATTTTTTACCCGTTTATAAACGGGACGGGGGTGGGTGGGTATGATGATATTCATATTTGCGGGTATCCGTTTAATAATATTTCTTAAATATCCTAATTATCCTTGTATCACATAGCCTTAAAATTACACTCTCTCATCTTATTTTCTTACAAAAGTGAGGTTAATGAAATTACTAACATGTGTTAAACATGTTATTTATTTTAAGTTATTTACTTTTGTTTGAAATTATGAGATTGAATTATTATAACTTTGTGATGAGACTTTAAATTACTTGTGAGATTGATGTATTTTAAGTTATTGATTATCTTGCATTTTCAACAAAATTAACGTTAAATACAAATTAACTGAATTTTTATTTTTAATATTTTAATGATATTAAATATAAACTTAAAATTATTTATAATATAAATTTTTTAATTTCTTAAAAAATTTATAAATATCCATAAATATCCATGAATATCCGTGAGTATTTAAGAAATTCATAGATACTTGCTTAATGGATATCCACGCAGATATGAAATGAGTATGAGACCAATTTTCATCTAATGAGACAGAAACGAATTTCCTATTACCCGGCCGTTCGCATGAAACTCATTCTCATCCCTAGTCATATAGCATGACACCATTACAAAGTCACTTGAAATGATACATGACCTACCAGTTAAATACATATACAGTTAACTGGTGTCAATAAATTAATTTTTTTAAAAACCAAAAATAAAAATTTGATCGAAACATATTTAACCTAATCACAGCGTCTTATTACTTTTGTTATATTATGTTATGTAAAGTCTTTATAATTTTAGATTTGATTTTTGTCATTATTAAAATAATATTTTGTTAATAATTTTTTTTTTAATTTTACAATAATAAATTAATTTTTAATTATAAATTTTAAAATAAAAAAAAATTATATATCGAAGAGGTAGGCTTGTTATGATTTAGTGGCAGTATACGACTGGGCTCGGTTTGACGGCGCACAGGAAGTTGGTTCC